TGGGTTTACTTGAACTACATTTTTTCTGGGATCTGAACTGTTTGAATCACTATTCCACTGGATTGAAAAGTAATTCTGCTGTTCTGCTGATGTTGCTGATCTCACTGATTCTCATTCCCTCTCTGTTACTCCTTTTCCAGGTACATTTTGATCCTTAAAGATGCTATTTGACATGTAACCTGAAGCATGAGCTGGAAATTGATTATAAACGCAGTTGTTATAGCTATCATATAGTTTGAAGTTGGATTTAGTCTATTTGTCAAAGCATGTTGTGATTGATAGTTTAGACCGTGTTATTTTAGTGTAATGATCTCCTCCTAATTCTGATTTTTGGAGTTTGCAATTAGAGTTACATTTCCTTTGAGTTTAACTTGTATCACTGCAGTAATTGGTCTGTTAAAATGGTTGAGGCTGTCAGATTAGAGCTTTTTGGTTTTGATAAAATAGCTCCTTATCAAGTAGCCCTTGGTTGAATTCTGTATGTAATGTGGACATGGACAATGTATTCTGAGTATTTCAGTGACTTGTGAGTTAGTTTCAATTCAGGATAATTTGAAACAAATTCAAAGCATGAAAAATTGATATACAATTAGTATGTTCTACGCAGATTTTGATCCCTGTGGCTAGAATGGTTATTATATGAGTGTGGTTATGTTCTAAATAGCTTGAAGTTGAATTCCAATCAGGTGTTTAGTGTCCAGTAATGGTAGGTCCAATTTGGTTGATTCTGCAATGTTAGATTAGGTTTAAAAGTTTGAAATCTTGTGTGAGCATGAAAGTAATTAATGAGTGTCCGTGCAAGTATTAACCCTGTGGAGAATGGATGCTTCAATAGTCAATTTTCTTTAAAGTTCAGTCATTCATGTATTTTCCCTTAGTCTGAAAGCTTTCCTCCTGCGGTTGCTTGGACTCGATCCTCTGATCCCACCCTCACTCGATTTGGGCCTGTTTCGAGCCCAGTTTATTTCTTGCTGAACATGGCTATCTTCTGCGGCTATAGAGGCCCTTATTTTGCACATCTCTCGTGCGGACTGAATCCGTTTTGGGCCCAGGACTGAATTGATAACTGATCCAGTAACAATTAAAATATTGTAGGCCATGGGCCTTTCAAGTTAAGTGGCAGATTTGAATTAAGGGGTTCTTAGTAATGGGGGTCCCCTTGTTTGAGTCTGGACTTGATCTTGAGGCTTGAACTTTCTTGAATGCCTTTAACAATAGTTAATTCATAGTTCTAATTAATTAAGTTTTTTTTAGAGACAATTCTTAATAGATAACATTAGTTCATCTTTAGGATGTCCTCTTAAA